ATTGAATTAAAGAAATTACACAACAAACGAAAATTTTTAAATAGTTAATTTGATATTAATATCAATATATTTTTTTTCAAATTTATATCTTATTCAAAGTTAATGTAAAACCAACCTATGATATCTTCGAATTTAATATAAAACCAACATATGAATTGTGTTTTATGATCCAATGGTTTTTATTAGTGTTGGACTAGTAGAACTCTTCACTTATGGTTCATTTGATTTGCAGGAATTTAATGGATTTGTAGGACATTGGATTATAAATCCATTCAAATCTCATGTTTGATTTTCAGGATTGTTTGGATTTGAAATCCTTTAAACATAAGAATTTGAAATCCCATGGTGGTGTTTGGGATTTTGTAGGATTTCTATATAATAATGTTTTAATATATGTTTAAAACACTTGTTTTCTAATAATTTATTGATAAAGAAGATAATTTAATTGTTTTTATAAATTATTTATAAAAAAAAAAATACATCAAACCAAACACACCAAAGGTTCCAAATCATTTCAAATCCAAATCCCTCAAATTTCAAATCTTCACACGAAATCCAAATCCCTCAAAACCATTACATCAACCAAAACGCTTCATATGATTGATCTAAGGGTGAAGATAGTTTCTTACTCTTATTACCGTAACTCTCATTCTCATCATAATCCAACCAGATATATTTCCATAAACATTTAAGAACGCTTGGTTCGTGAAATGTAATTCATCAAATAAATTTCAGGCTTAAAGGAACTGATCTAGAAATTGACTAAGTTTGGTTGGTTGTAATTGAAAAGGAATATTTCAAATGAATTAGAATCATCATATTTGATTGATGGAACGTAGCTTTTATAATTGGAATGAAATAATTGTAAATGATCAAAATATGCTTTTATTTATTTTGAAATTATATAAATAAATATGATAAATCTATAGTACTTTATAAAAGCAGATTTAGTTTGTTTAGCTCATGTTGAGGAATTAAAATATGAATGAAAATGACAGATAATGAATTTTCATTTCTCTCAGTTTAATTATGAATGAAATTATGGGGTTGTAAAGGAATAAACCCATTACATTATAGAAAAGGAAAAAGTTTTAAAGAACTCAATTGATTTAGTGTTTGGAACGATCAAGTATTTTGACAATTTTTTGGAACAAATAAGTCATTCGACATTTCAAAACCTATTAAATAACTTCTTGTATTTTTTAAAACATGTTAGATACATCATTATGACATATAAAACTGGTTAATATGGTAAAATAATGAAAAAATGCCTGAAAAAAAAGCAATAGATTTTTATATTTTG